TATTTATTATCATATCTCAATGTTTAATACATTTTATATAAAGGGTTCTTTTTATATAAAGGGTTACAAAAATGCACATGGACTGATAGAATCCGAAAAAGCTAATCTTTTAGGATTAAATATTGCAAATGATAACGCTTCAGAACCAGATCAATCTTCGAGTACAGCCTTAATTAGAATGCAATCGTTTCTTAATACAATTCATGATCATTGTTATCATATGTTAGGAAGCGGTTGCCACACAATTGGCAGAAATTTTTATGAGTTATCTGGTCTTGCGCAAGCACTAATAAGTTCAGTTTTCTCTAACATGGACGTAAGTTATTTAAATAATTAATATGATTTATTTTATTATCCATGCACAATTTTACAAAATTTATTTTTAATAATTATCTTTTGGTGAAGCTGATTCCAGATTATCGATTACGACCAATAATTCGGGTGTTTTTGAAACCATTCATATACTCGTGTCCTCCAGCTTTCTACGAGACTGTACTTATACCAGTGTTAGCACATGTATCTGCGCACAGTAAGGAAACATTTAAACAATCATTACTCCAACAGTATTAACATAATAATCATTGATTTTATTTTTAGTGTATCATAGATTAACCGCCAAATGGCAATACATTGCAAGTTTATACGAATCTGGAAATTTGGACGAAGAAAACACAGACACACAAGAAGTTATAGATGATATGTTGAATAGAAACCTGACGCGAGATTTTATAGACGTCTTAAAAGTAGCGTTAGTTGGTGGAGCAGCTAGCGATGCTGCACCTCCGGATACTATGGATCAAGATAGCGGTGGTATGGCAGTAGATCCACCAATTTCTCGTGGCAATAGTATTGTTGCAGAAGTTGTCAGCGAGTTGGGTGCTTTTGTCTTGAGACATTTATCCACGTGCCATAATGTAGTTTTATGCATTTTGAGGTAATTTTATAACTTTATTTTTTATTTCTTCTTAAAGATTTTATTCACAAAAACCATTTACAATTGCATGTTCATTCATTTATATACAGAGCTTTATCTTGGAACGATTCCAACGCCAGCCTTAAAGCTACTATGTTAACAAGTCCGATTGTACGAGCACTTGCTGCCGATGGCAGTTTGACTCCTGGTATGGCATCGCACATTATGGTTGCAGTACTTCAAGGTTTACAACTTCACGGTCAACACGAAGCGAATCAGGGTTTACTTATAACTTTAGGCGCACAAGTTTACGAATGTTTAAGACCCAAATTTCCAAATATTATCGACGTAATGCATCAAATACCTGGAGTTAATCCTGCAGATTTGCAACGATTTGATGAAAAAATGGCAATAGTCAGTACAAAGGGTAACAAAGTTGAAAAAGGAAAGAAAGATCTTTTTAGAAAGATTACGAATCAGGTAAAGTTTCGTATAGTCTACGAATTGTAATCCTTAAAGTAAAATATTTTCTATTTATAATTATATAATATTTTATTATTCTACAGCTTATCGGCAGAAGTGTCGGTCAATTATTTCGTAAAGAAGTCAAAATAGATAATTTACCGAGAATAGAAATACCTGGAAAACCCCAAACAGTAAGAGTAGACGATATATCTTTAATCAAGGCTGATACTGGGATCGCCGCTCTGTTTGCAGGGCCTACGTAGCAGAGTCACATTGATGATGATGCCTTACAAAGTTGGTCTAATTCAATAAATAATTACAAGTTAACGTAAAAAAAAAAGTAAAAAGAAAAAACACAAAGAAACAAAAGAAAAGAAAAAAAGGATCATAAAAAAGATACATAAATAAAGAGGATGCTCGTTATCAAACAGAAATGCAATCCTGTTGAAGAATATATTTACAAGACTAATCAATTCTGATAGACCATTTGTCAAAACAGAAATTTAAATTTCAGTATAGGTGAATATATTTGTAAAAAGTTGTTTATAATAATACATCGCATATTCATCACACGAATGAAAGTTGAATTTATAAATTTCTCGAACGGATGAAAAAGTGAATGCAGCAGCAACAACAGCTTGTTGTCGACTTCCTAGACGTAATTATTAATTCCATATAAAATGTATAACAAGTTTTATATTAAGGCTGTGCTTAAATTCAAGTGTACATAGTAAAAATAAGTATATGATGTTTTATTTTACCATACGTGTACTCACATGATGTGTTTGTACTTCTTATCTACATTGTACTTAAATTGTAGCACAGCTGAGTACTTTGCATACTCCGATATCTTGATTTTTATTTTTATTTTTTTTATTATTCCATTATTTATTTTAAGACATCTCCATATTGAATTATATAATTCATATTATTGCACTTTTAAACTTGCACTAGTTAATAAAGTAATACATTATTACTATATATATCAATTTTTTGTGCAAGAGAAAATGATAAATAATCATCCAAGTTAAAATTATATATTAAATATCATATTATTTCTATTTCATATGTGTTCAATTCTAGTATGCATTTCTTTACGAAAAATTTAAATAACAAATAATATTTTAACGAGAATGAATGTCTGTTATGAAAATTTTAGAAGATTTGCTTATTAATTAAAATAACAAGTTGTCCTATATAGTTGAAACAAAAAAGAAAAGGGATACTTTGCAAATTTTATCTATAATAATTCTTTTTCTTTGCATATCTTATAAATTTTGATGTGCCTATAAATATGGAGGAGTCTTAATAAATTATATTTTCTGCTATTTTTCTAATTAATGAAATATGATCCGTTTATTATTTCTTACGTAACAGAAATTTCAATTAAGAGTCATAATCGTATTATTTTATTTTATTTTATTAACATTATATATATAAATTTATATAATACTGTATTGCGAAATTGATATTGGTAATAGATGATAGACTAGAGATTACGATATACAGAAATGATATAATACAACAAACTTTTATATTTTTGGTTCTTTTTAATTTTTAGCATAATGCATAATGTTAAAAATTTGATTGCTCTTGCATTAAAAAAATATTTTAATGGATTTTTTTATCATAAATTTATAAAAAGCATGTAAGGGATATGTGAAATATTATTTACATACTTTTCTTTATTTATTATATGTATATATACATTCATATATATATACATAAAAACCAATGAAACATAAAGTATGATAATATTTCCAAATGATATTATAATTTTCGATAAGATAAATTTAATAAGGAAAAAATATTGCATATAAATTCATATTATCTCTCGATTTCTCATCATTATTTTCTGCACATATTCATTAAACTATTTTTCTCGAAGATGTTCCTGCAAAAATGACTTCAAAAGTACCTAAATAAATAATATGTGTGTATGTGCGTCTGCACGAACAAAATTAAAAAAACAACAAAAACATGCGTTTTTGCTAAACTGATGTGTAGTAATATTTATAAGATGTATGAAGAAATAGAAGATTTAGTACTTTTTGTACTTTATACGTAATCAGAAATGACAATTTATATATATACATATTATACATATACAAATGATGCAATTACTGTTTGTATAAAGAGCATTCTTTATAATTTGTTAAAATCAAATCGTGTGTGTATAAAAATTGGGGAAATATTTATCAATTCTATAAATTGTCTGTCATATTAAACATATTTGAAATTTTCATCTTATTGTTAGAAGAAATGATCGTGCGCATAATTCAAACTCATTATATATTAAAAAAGCTACGAATTAGCAAAGATTAATAATAGCGATAAAGTATAAAATAATTTACTTTACTTTTTATTTTCTCTCTTAGTGCTAACTATGTAACAAACACTAAAAAATATTTCTCAACGATCAGAATATAATGTGCGTCTATCTATCTATTTTTAATGTAAATTATGTTTCAGTTTAAACAATTCACTACGTTATCATACTTGATTGTTTTCAGAATTATACCACTTTATAACATATTCTTTATTTCTTTTTCTTTTTATTATTTTTTTTCTTGCACATACAGTAGTTTTCTGTACATTTATGTAACATTTCTCGTTCAACATCACTTAGTACGTATTCGTAATTGGTAATATACCATTATACACATATGTATTGCATTCCTCTCGTCAAGTAAAGAGTCAGAGTAGTAAATTTGTGAATGATTTTACGTCAGTAAAAACATTTATCACACACATTAATCATCACAATGTCTGGATTATATAATAATAATAATGCCATTAATATATTAAACAATCAATTCGGTTATTCGTAGAACGAACGTTGTTAAGTTTTTTTCTAAGCTGACTCTCGTGCATTTTCTTTCTTCTTCTTCTTCTTCTTCTTCTTCTTTTATTTTCTTTCTCTGTTTTTTTGTTTTTTTTTTACAATCAGTTGAAAATTATTATGTTCATCTTGTATATATTGTACTGTAATAAAGAAATTACACCGACAATAACAATACATATATATATATATATATATATATATATATTAACAATACATATATACATATATATAAACCACGTTATTTCCTGTTAAAATAGCCTTAAATACATTCATTAATGTCTAAGCATTGACGTTAAAATTCGTTGATAATCCATAACAGATTTTAAATTGTAAATATAAGTGTATGTAGGACACATTTATATTTAACAACGCGTATACGTGTGTTAAAATTTTCGTATACGTATACAATTGCTTAATAATAAGCCTTCGCATTTGAACACAAACGATACATCACGAGTACCTATTATTAGCAAGAAGTTTATCGTTTTATTCTAAACAACATATATATTGATATTATTATTATTATTTTTATTATTATTATTATTATTATTATTATTATTATTATTATTATTATTACTTATAATTTCAAATAATACTTTCGCCTTAAATTTCAACCTCGGATTATAAGTTGGACTCCCAAAGAATTTCTATGACACACGTTAGCGAAATAAAAAAACAAAAATACAACTTTAAATCAAATGGATATTCGCATCGTTGCATTGACTTTGTAAATAGGAATAAATAAAATGAGGGAAATAATATAACAATCATTTTTTCTAGCTGTATGAAAATAGACATTGCAAAACTTAACACTTTCATTTTAATATTTTACTAAAGATCCATATATATATGTGAAGCTCATGCCTCGACTATATTTGTATTAGCCTTCGTCGTTGTTTACATACTCTTTTTCATTTTTTCCTTTTTTTTAAAATCTAAAATAATAAAAATATATTATAGCATATATATATTCCACACACAAGGAAGGATTTTCAGAAAATTATATCGCTTATTGTACAAATTATAAATATCAATGTATTCTTCGCGAGATGTTATATAGCAAATTTATAAAAAAGAGTAATTGACTAATCGTTCTTACAATGTTTTTTCTTTCTCTTTCTTTCTTTCTAACTTTCTTCATATAAATATAATCATTTTGAATAATTCATAGAACAGATTAATTACATTGTTTTAATTGGATCTCTTGTAATATTTGATCGCAAAAATAATTATTGGAATGTTACGTAATACAAATTCTTTAAAAAATAAAACGCATATCTTTGTAGGCAAAGCTAAACTGGATAAATCTATAATATCGGATCATATATTCTATATCCTACATGTTTGTAACGAAAACCTAAGATTTTCTTTAAATCATTCCTTGATCTTTGGTAAAAAGTTATCCTTTACATATATATATATATATATATAACCATAGAGAAAAGAAAAAATTGTTTAAAAACAGCTTTTTTGTCCCTACAATTGACTAAGTTATTATTTTAAGAAGCGGAGGAAAATATTTCATTCGTTACAAATTGCTCAAATCGTTCAAATTGTCGCAAATTCCATAAAGGTAGGCAAGAATACGAGATACATTTTATCTTCTTTTTTGTTTCGTCTTTCTTTTTTTTTTTGTTTTATAACTTTTTTGCAGGGACATATATAAGTGGTGATAGACTTTGCGTAAGCACATTTTTCAATTTCGTTTCACATTATGATTTACGTAAAATACTAGAAGTTATTTGGATTTATCTTACATTATACTAAGATCTTTCAAGACTTCAATTAAATATCAAACCTAAATGCTTAGGACATACTGTTAATATTTTTTTCTTTTTTTTTTTATAATCAATTCTTCATGTTATATTACAATGATATTTGTGGTACAAAGCCCAAATATATTTATAGGAACTGCCTGCGCCGTAACTATATATATTTAAATGTAATATACTTAGTCTGCATGTTAGTTTCTTTTCACAAATATTATACATTTTCCTTGTATTGAAATGAACGCGACACCCAAGGGTTTCTACCCTTGATCCGCTTTGTACTTGACAAAGGCAGGTTTAAGATCACTCTCTATGATATAGACAATTTGTTAGATTTAATATTTACAAAAATACAATTAATATCTCGGTAATAAATATCTTTAATTAGCAGAATTTGAGCAGTCAATTAATAAGGCGATTAGTTTTTAATAGAATACAACGTCTATCAAAAAACATTCGTCCCTAGGCTCTTTTCAATTTACCATCACTACCTTTCTTTCTCTCTCTCTCTCTCTCTCTCTCTCTCTTTCTCTTTTATTCATCTTAAGTCACACACGCATACAAGGATTTCATAACTTCAGGAGTGGTTTCAGTAAGCTAAAATAAGAAAAACAAACTTCTTCTTATTTTAGCGTATTGAAAGCATCTCTTTAATTATGCCCATATATTTTGGTACACCCTGTATATTCAAATTTCATCCAACTCAATCGACGATATATTGTATATATTAAAACTGCACAACCTCGAATTTTATCATGCCATATAACATAGTCAGATCATTGATGTATTAATTGGCACTCTGTATAATTCAAGTACCATTAGCATTTGTAGTATTCTCCTTTTTCCCTTTGAGTAAAAATACATCCATATTGTCTTTCCCCTTTACATATACTTGACCGCGTGGCTCGAACTCGTATTTATCTGAGAGTACGCCAATACAATTACTAGCCATTTGTATTCTACCTGCGACTCCAGTAGAATCCATTCTAGATGCAATGTTTACCGCATCGCCCCAAATATCATAATACAATTTAGTCGCGCCTATTACACCGGCCGTAACGTCGCCATAATTAAAACCAATTCTTAAAATCAATTTAAATTCCAGCAAGTCTCGATTAAAATCATAAATGACTTTATGCATAGCCATCGCAAAATCAATTAGTTGAAAAAGATGAGTATATTCATGGTCACTTTGCTGTCTCACTTGTGGATTTAAACCGCTAGCTGCCATAAATGTACTACCTATGGTCTTGATTTTTTCAACATTAGAAAATTCTGGTTTCTCGAGAAGTTCATCAAAATCACCAATCAATTCGTTAAGTACTCGTAGATACTCTTTACCACCTAAATAAGATTCGTCATATAACTCGTTGAAATTAACAATACTGGCAAAAATAATCCCGACGGATTTATGATTTTGTGAATATTTAGCAGTGGTTTTCAATTGATCGGCTACGTATTTGGGTATAATATTATGTAAAAGTAAATCGGCTTGATTTTTCATCGATTGTACGCGCGTCTTATCTCTCGCCGCTACAAAATTTCCATGGAAACTCAATCGATAGCTAATCTCGAATTCGCGATTCAGAAACCAAACTAATAAGAGTAAGAGTATCATGTCAAGATAAATCTCAGAATGGTACAATCTCTCGTTGTACCTTAATTCTTTTTCTCTTTCCGTTATTATAATAGATTCCATCATGGGTTTGCGTGATTGCTCGATTATTTTGTGTGACGATTGTGTTGACGCTTCTACAGAATTACGAAATTCTTTTCGTGGAATTATTAAATTTTCATCTATAGGATAATTATTTTGTTCAATTAAGATCGCGTTAACTAAATTCGGACGCATCGCCGATCGTTCTTGCGTATTATTTCTAATATCGTAGTCGCTTGGTATTGTCATATCCTGATTATACGATATATGACTAACAACCAGACAAATAAATAAAGCACCGGCAAAGGTGACTAGCAAGTTTTTCATCCAACAATTCAATTGAGTAAAATTACAAAAGTGGACCAGTCCAATGAAGATCAAATAGCTGTAATAATATTCGAAGTTATTTAAAGTACGTAAGCTATTGCAAGTGAAGTTTAACAGAATTGAAACAATTGGTAAGCCAACTAATAAGGCACCGCAAACGTGCCAAGGATACCATCTAGAAAAAAAATCGAATATTTTTTGAGTTAAAGTTGCGTGAGTGGTATTTGGCTTAAAAAGTTGTCTAATGCAAAGTAAAACGGCTAGGATTTGAACAGCCGTGGCAAATACACAAAATACAATATAGAAAATTGAAGGCTTGCAAAGCAAGAAGAGCGATATTGTAATAGCTACGTAAACCAGAGCCGATATCAATATGTCAAAATAAGTATTAAATCTTGAAGTAGCTAGAGTCGGAGGATTGCCAGTTACACCTTCGCTCGCTCGGTGTGCATTTTCTCTGTATTCCTTTTCCAATTCTTTATTCTTAAAAAATAGCGTTACGCTTGATAACGGTGGTTTCACGAAATACGAACGTTGAGAACTCACGTTGTCTTGAACGCATCTTTACAAAACAAGAGTTAAATATTAAAAGTCAATTAAACGTGAAAGTGTGTGTTTCAAATATTAATAAATAAAATGTTACCTTATCAGTTGTAAATCAGATTGTTTTCTTAACTTATGGAAACATGCACCAAATGTATCAGTCACTGCTGGAGGAAACGGATAAGGTGGTACGGATGACGAAATTTCATGAGTAGAGTTCAAAGTTGAACTAGAAGTATAATAACCACTAACTCTGTGACCTAATAAATCCCCTTGAGCCATACCATTCATCAGGAACAACTGCAACAAGAATTCGTTGTTGCAACATTATTGACTAAAGTTAAATTAATGTATTTAAAATATTTGTATTTACCTGCTGTTGAATACTACTACGTCTGCTATTACTCTTAATACCAGAATCTTTTCTACTACATATCGATGAAGCGTGACTTATTGTTTCTTGACCAGACAATAAAGGACTAGAAGGCACAGGATTTGGATCCATTTCAACACTATTATTGAAAGGAATCTACGAAATAATATAGGTAATTAATATTTAATGATAAGAACAAAAGTGAGCAATAGAAAGACATATAAAATAACTGACTCGTTTGAATCCATTGCGATCTTCGAATTGTTCACTTTTTGGTTGCTTTAAAATCATACTTTTTCCTTCTTCCATATCTAAAGGAGTCATTTCTTCGCTCGTTCTTTGTCGTTGTAAATAACGCCATGGTTTATTTCGTGATCTTTTTTTTTCATAACTCGCAGTTGACATAGGACTTTTATTAAGATCTTCCTTCTCATCATCCATGTCATTACTATTTTCAGAATCCAAAATACTGGGCAAGGAATTAGCTTTTATCTTACTTGCATTAGTTACCATGTGGAGATAATGAAGTTTGGGTTTGTTCTGATTATTGCAAGAGGCAAGACGGTGACGAGTTTGCATTAACGGAGATAAATCTTTGGGTAATATAATATTTGTTACAAATTCATTCATAATATCTGATTTACGACTTTTGATAAAATAAGTTTTAATACCTACAATTAGAAATAATATTTTTGTTAGTTAAACAGTTATGCTAATGCTATTATATACACATACCGTTGACTACCTCTCCTTCTTCTGTGATATATTGATGATTCAAAAAATTTAAAGTTTTTTCACTTAAATGTACCCTGCCTGGTTTGCCGGTACTCTCTAATTTATTTGCCAATGTCACATCATTTGACCAGACATCAAATTTAAATCTTTTAGTGCCAACGATTCCACATAAAACGGTTCCCGTGTGAACTCCGACTCTCATATTTACTCCTTCTCTTCTTTCTATATCGAATTGTTTTATAGCTTCTATCATAGCTGAAACAATCATACAATTAAGTTAGATAATTAAAATATATATAAACGGGTATAAAAGAAAAGTTATTATACCAACCTAATCCCATTTCGATGCAACATTTTGCATGATCGGGCCTTGGTTCAGGACAACCACTGACACAATAATAGCAATCCCCCAATGTAGAAATTTTTTCACATCCATGATGTTCGCACAAATCATCAAATCGTTCGAATAGATCATTTAGAATGCCAACTAATTCCTCAGCAGTCTTATTCGAGCTCATTTTAGTAAAACCAACAATATCGGCAAATAATATGCTAACGTTTTCCATAGAGTGCATATTAAATGGTCGAAATAAAGATCTAATATCCGTTTGATTAGAGGGTATAGAACCTTTTTTAAGAGAATCTTCACGTTCTCTCTCTCTGCCGCTTTCTTCCATTAACCAATCTGCTACTTTTGGCGGCATTACAGAATGTATCATTTTTTCTTTAAGCTGTCTTTCCATTTCTAATTGACGTCGTACGAGCAATGATTGGCCAACTTTCATAAAAGTACCACGCATTCGCACAAATGTCATTATCAAGATATGTACGCCGATTAAATGAATACATATTTGCATTAAAATTCTTATACTGAGATTCGTTGTAAAATCAATATCATCTTGCAAATACGTATCCGATGTATTAGTCCAATTGGTAATAGATTCAACAACATTAAGAGCTAATTCGCCTTCTGTAGAAGACGCATTCATTTTACTAAGACTACTAATAATATTTATATTGTTGGCCGTTGAATTGATAGTAGAACCAACATTTGCCATAGCAAATGGAATACTAGAATTTAGTTTCGTTAATATATTTCCATTGGTAAAATTTCCAGACATATTTTCTTCATTCAACAATTTGGAACTAAGATTAGATATTGGATTAGAAGTATTTAAATTAAACATCATCTCTGTGCCAGCTTTCAATGCATCGCTAACATTAGACATTGTACTTTGGAGACCATTGAGAAAACTATGATGTTCTTGCGAAGAATAAATAGGAACAGATGTTCTGTTGTAGTCTTCAGAAATATTTGTTATTGAAGAATGATTAAAAAATTTGTGACTGTCGAATATCCTTTGTCTTCTATTTTTCGAGCCATAGAGATAGGCAGTTAAAAATTCAAATATAATAGAGTAAATAGAAGATATTCCTATGCAAGCGTAAAGGGGCATTGGTAGTACCGTATAAATCAGTAACAAGATTTCTGAACATAGTGCAAAATGTCCTACTAGTGTTAAGCCATCTACGTGAGGCGGTACTACCGCAAGAAATAGTAAAGAAAGAAAGCACAGCACGGATGCAACTCCTACTGAAGTTGTTAACACGTAAGACTTGTAGTGTTCCGTATGAGTTAAATATAATACAGCGGATACCACGGTTCCAACAATACTGAAAATGGCTGCGATAGCAGGCCATGTTGAAGTATTATTCCCGATTCCAGTGATTACAAAATATGCCAGCCAAAACACAGATACCAACAGGATATATGTAAGAGCATATCTAGAAAGAATAATTAAACTTAATTATATTAATAAAATAGAAAGTAAAATTAAATAATTAAAATTCTTTACAAGTACATACCGGAATCTAAGTCTAATCTGTGGAAAGGCACTTCTTTTAAATTGTTCTTCTAGAATTTCAGAATCAAATTTTGGATTCCACCAAGAACGTGTGGCAGCACGTTCAAATGGCACTGGTAAACTAATCCCACAACATCCAAGACCTTGTCCGCTATGTGCCAAGTATGTTTGTATGTATGGTGCCAAAGATATGTGTATTTCGTCTCCAACATCATCATCGCTGTTATCTTTTCCTCTTGTAAAACTTACAGACGAACTGCGTTTTCGGTTCATCGAAGGGTTCATATTGACATTTGAGTATTACTGTGAAAAATATATATGTATATATAAACACACATATAGATTATTTCTTAAAAATAATATAATGATGGAATACAAAAATTTCATAACGTAAGACAACATTTCTAAATCATTATATCATATTATTTAAGAATAATTCAAAATAACGTTGATGTTCTGATATAAAAATTGACAAGCAATTTAATCACCTCGGTTAAAGGCGATAACGCCATAAAACTTTAAAAATCATCCTCCTTGCTGACATTGGAGGTTCTTCCATAAGTCAGCTAGTGTCAGATGGCATGATTTTCATATTCTTTTCTTTTTTTTTTTTGTACAGTATTCTAAGTTGAACGACGCTATTAAACGTCGGTGTAATTGTCACCGAAGTTCTTAAGGTCGTATAACACAAGATTTTTCGAATATATATATATATATAAAATAGGAAAATTCCCTTAGGGAGAATTACGATTTCTTAGAATATCCCCCACAGTAATCCGCAGCCATCTTGAAGTCAACAATACTGAACAATACCAACGACATCGCCCAAACACTGTTGCCACACATTATCGAGCAGCTGATCGCTAAAATTATGCACTTACGAAAAGATAATATGTTTGCAGCTGTTAATTTCTATTCGTAAATTAGAGATAAGAAAATATACTGAGCAATGAAATACTTTTTACAGATTATTCAAATTGTTTTATTAATAGAACGACTTAAGTAACGCCTCTTGTCATTTTTGGCGGGAATTCATATTTTCATATTTTCAATGCGATTACCTTACGTATTACCACTGTGCACGTGATATTTAAAATTTGTATTACTTATAAAATTAAATGATAGGTATTTTAATATTCAAAGTATTTTAAAATAATAATATATTGAATCATTAATGCGTAGATGCTTGATTTCGATCATTTAAATATAATGTAATTATCGTTTAATCGAGTTTCGATGTATGATCACGTGCAGTATTTTGATTGGTCAAATTTGAATTATTATTTTTGAATGGAGCTTGCTTAGTTTTTGAATTTCGTTATTTTTAATATTTTATACTAATTTTTTGTTTATACATATTTGTTTACATATTTATAAAACATATGAAAGAAATATTGCTTAATTAATAATTATAAGTATATATATATATATATATATATTCTTGTAAATTAATAGGAAAAGGCATTAAACTTAAATTAGTTTATTATGTAATATAGAATTAATATAAATCGATCTTTTTTATCGAGAAGGCGAACCAATCGGTGGATCTTGCCATTTAAATTCTTCTTGATAGGTGACATAAACAACCCAATAACATACATTAAGTAAACCAAAAGATGCTGGAAAAACTACTCGTGCTACTCTATCTATTGTTGATACACTATTAATATGTCTCGCTATTCGTTCACCGAATTTTCGACAATTTCCTGCTGCTTCACGTTGTCTTCGTCTTCTATAATTCTCATTAAAAAATAATTTCAATATCACAATGATTACGCTTAACAAATATGTTAAATATATCTATGCAAATTACCTGAACTCATCGTCACCTGCCAAACAATATAAAAATTGTCTCCATTTAGGTAATCGGCGTTCAGTTTGCGTCTGTCTTTCCATTGTGGATGGTCTCGACGTAACAGCCATTGTTACTGGCTGATAAGATCGTCTATTGTACGTTACCGAATCCTGCAAACATTTCTGATTCGTAATTTTATTTCTTTGTTATATAAATAAATATTAATTAATATTATTTATTAAAGAAAAAAGAGTATGAGTGCCTGTAATTACAGAATTAAACTAAAAATAGAAATAATTCATTCGATGATTAATATATTAGATTATTAAAATAATTTATATATTATAAAATAAACGATATGTTAAATTTGTTTACGTATTAGTCTAATTTCCAAATATGCAAGCACATTTTTCAAAATATTTTTACATTATAAATGCTGCAGACAGTTGAACTTCTTCTGGAAGTCTCATCAATGATACTATCTGGATGAATAGTCTGAGAATCGCAAGTAGCGATCGTACAAAATGGATCTTCGTATTCCTTATCCGAAATAGTTTCCCATTCTTCTTCTTCCAATGGAAGTTCGCCACTTCCGACCTACGAAAAAATTAATAATAATAAAAATAAAGAAAGAGAGAGAGAGAGATAAAGAGAAAGAAAATGAAAATTGTAATAATCGGTAATCTTATACCTTGGTAAAATAATGTACTCCAGCAAATTCTAAAAGGGTAGCAATGCAATAACCAAAACTCATGAGAAGAAACCAATCTAGTGCTGTAGCGTATCTCACTTTTGGTAAATCAGTTCTTGAATCGAGACTAATCGTGGAAAGTGTTAGTACCGTAGTAATACCTGTAAACACAAACAATATATGAATTAAATAATTTCAAAAGAATAATACATACAAGCTCGCGTGTTCGTGTTTTTAATCGATAAAATAATTTTACCTAAACCTACACGATCGCTGGTAGCCTCGCGATGAATCCAAAATGATACCCAACTTAAGACAACAATCAGCACGCACGGAACGTATACCTTGAAAAAAAAACAAAAAAATTAATAAATATAATTACAAGAAAAACGTATTTTTGTAATTTCGTTCTTACTTGTATCAAAAAGTAACCAGTATGACGTTGTAAGTTAAAAGACACTTGGAGAACAGAAAATTCTCCTTCGCGACGTACAAACGTAAGATTTCTGTAAGGAGAACCCATTAAATCGAATTGGGATAACGCCATTCCGGGAACAAAATTTACGGAAGATCCTTCTTGCCATTCGTAAACCAATTGTCTAGACGTGTATGCGTCTAAAAATAAAACAAATAATATCAAATATTTTAACTTTATCTCTCACATACACATGTTACTTAATTATTATAAAGATAAACAAATTATTTTCACGTTTCCACGAACGAAGATGAATTGTAATTTGATTTCATTGCGAATGTAACATGCTTTTTACATATGATTCTAATAATATAATAAAATGTAAAATATTATTCGATACGGGGAACACACACATAACACGAGAAAAAATGATAAAAAAGAATGAGAATACGATAGGAGAGTGTAATCAAATATTTATCGATAACTTAACACAATAAATTCGAACGTGAGAAGAAAATAAAGATGAACGTGCTAGCAGTGTTTTCTTCAAAATATTACGAACAAATAAATAATCGATGAACGCGAGAATGATGATAAAGAGATATAAAAATTTCGAGAAAAAAGAAAAAAAAAACAAAGAGACCTCGTTAACGCGTTAAAAATATTGTTTATTAAGAAATCAACGAAAACGTACGTACAGCTTCCTAAAATTAACGGACAGGATTGTCGATCCATTGGAAAATTTTGTAATTCCATTGGACACTTAGCTTTAATGGTAAGCCTGTAAGAGAGAAACATACACAAAGTTATATATTTATTAAACTTAGGAGATAAGAAATATAAATCAAAATGATTATATAAAAATTTAATAGTGTTAACCTCATGGAATAAAGTATATCACCGTCTTGAGAAATTCTGAGTAACTTGTTGGGCACGGTGATCGTGTGCACGTAACTGTGTTTCCCATTGTAGAAATACGTGTCCGGACGCCAAATTCTTTCGAGCATTTTTATACTAAGGCTGAGGGATTTGATGGGTCCTAAGAAACTAAGCCGAGAATCACGCCACGATTGTCTAAAGTAACAATCCATCGAGTAATCCTAATATACGTGATAGAATCGATAAACATTATTGATTAATTATATCCATCTGGAATTATTGTGTTTTAAAATTGGAACACTTTGGCAACGGGAAATGTATAATCATCTTAAATAATATTTAACTTTTCAACACACTGAATACAGGAAACGTAATCTTACGTTTATTCATTTTATTCTTCTTCTTCGGCATGGTGGATTATATTTCAATGTGTTATTGTTATTTGAAAAATGTAGCAGTATTTTGTAGAATTTCTAAAATATTATCTAATAATTTATTTTATTATTAACAACTTCTCCAATATAAGATCCACTAATGTCTGATATAGCGTTCGAGAAAATATTTCTTCTATATTTATTTGTAAAACTATGAACATCACACGTACTAACAATAAGACATACAATTTCTTATATTCAGATAAATAAAACACAAAATATCAGAGAAACAAGTTAAATAATTTGTCCAATTATTATCCGTCGCAAAAGTGTAATAAAAATAATAATAAAATATTTACCATATCCAATTCGGAAACAGGACCCATGCTTCTTATCAGAATATTAGTTTTTACAATCGTCGGTGTTCCTACGAGAGAATATTAAATCGAATATTATTTTCTTTAAAATTTAATTGAATGAACAAAAAAAAAAAAAACAAAGAAAAAGTAGTACGAATTCATTTTTCTCTTATGAAATATGGTATTAGCTTTGACGAGAAAATGATCCTACCTATTCTCAATCGTTTGTTGACAAAGTTCGAGTGGTTACACACAGAGAAAAAGTTCGATAACGTAGGGAACAAAAATATTAGGAAAGAACGGAAATAGGAAAATGTGAAATCGACGAAGGTGGCCAAAAAGCCGCATTTTAAAAGCAAGAGATGCGATTTCAAAACCTAGCAATAGTTTCTTCTATTTTTTTTCTTTCTTTCTTTCTTTCTTTCTTTTTTCTCCTTCTCTCTCTCTCGTTTTCTCTCTCTTACTATCATCTGGCTTTATTCCAATTTGAGGTATGCATGTAATATCCATATTGAGCCATTTCATCCGCGATGATAAGTTTCCCTAAACGCGAAAGGAATGAGGGTGGGAGGGGGAGGAGGAGGAGGAGGAGGAGGAAACTATCGAAATGAAAGGGAAAAAATCGGTAATAAAACAAAAAGCTTGCTGGACCAAATAGAAATTATTTCGGACAAATAAAAATGTTTCAGTGAAATGAAAATAATTTCTAAAAGATCCTTTTGATAATAATAATGATAATATACTAATTGTAAAATAGATAAGAAAAAAGAAAGAAAAGAAACAACGCGTTAGATTTGTCGAATAAATTAAAGACGCGAGTTAAGTGGTCAAAAGAGTAATGCTTAAAAGTTTAGATGTATAGTGTTTTGAATATTACAAAAATGTATGTCTACTTAAATATAAAAAAAGACGCTGAACTTTAGAGATTAAGTTGCTGAAGAAGTTCCAATAAAATAATCAAAACGAAGTTCTAGTTCTTTTGAATGTTCAAATTCCCTACGATACTTATTTATTAATTATTTTATTTTTGGAGATGAGATAAACAACTAATTGAGTAATGCTATTCTTTCTCAATTCCAATTAACATAATTTATTTTTCGGATAATTTCTTTTTTTTTTTTCTTATAACTCTACACGTTAACTCGCAGGTAAATCATTTTCAAAACGGAAAAAAAACGAAAAGTAACGTAACGAGTAGTAGTAGCAGCTAATCTTCCCTTTAAAACATCGTGCCGCTCTTCACATCATTTTTTTTCTTCCACATTTTTAAGAGTTTAACGGATCGTAGGAACGCGGCCACGAAATTTTTGCAACGTTCGCAGAGAGA